ATGGTCGGTGGAAATTCCTTGGAAGTTCCTCCCGGCTAAGTCCGATGGACTCGCTGACCAACAATGAGAGGGGCCCTCCAGACTTGCTGGAGGGAGGGGACCTCCAGACTTGCTGGAGGTAGGGGCCCACCAGACTTGCTGGAGGGTGTGACGTAGGATTGAACGCCCTACTCACATATCTTTAGTTCACCAAACACCACAAAAAGTCATGGATCTCCCTAAGGTAAAACGCTCATTATCCGGAGGTAAACTAGTCCCCCGTTCGGGTCTCCGGGTGGGGACTGCTTTAGGGGATTCATGCCGCAAGTTGAAATATAGGGATTTAAATATTGGTACGTGGAACGTAAGGAGTTTAAACACAGCAGGGGGGCTAAAATCGGTCGCGAATGAGGTAAATGGGTACAATTTGGATGTCGTGGCTCTGCAAGAGGTTCGCTGGCCAGGGGAGGGCTCGATGAGGGAAGGAAAGTACACTATTTGGTACGGAGGAAGCGGGAATCATTGTTTAGGTACCGGGTTTCTAATTAGGAGTAGATTACTATCCGCTTTGAGGGACGTACAATTCTTTAGTGATAGAATTTCGGTAGCTACATTTCAGGGACGTTGGTTTAAAATCGCATTAATAAACATACATTGTCCGACCGAAGACAGTGACGATGAAGTCAAAAGTGAATTTTACGATAAACTCGAATGGGTTTATGATAAACTACCGCGAAACTACATGAAAATAATTGTAGGTGACGCGAACGCAAAGGTAGGAAGGGAAGAAGTTTATATTCAGACGATTGGTAAAGAAAGTTTGCACGAATATAGTAATGATAATGGGATCCGTCTGATAAACTTTGCCATCTCGAAAAACCTGGTAATTAAAAGTACGACGTTTAAACGTAAGGATATTCATAAATATACTTGGACATCGCCGGATTCGCAAACACGAAATCAAATCGATCATGTCTTGATACAACACAGCTGGCAAAGCAGTATAATCAATGTACGGTCTTATCGCGGAGCAGAATGTGGGTCGGATCATGAATTAGTAATCGCGAAACTTCGACAAAAACTTAATATAAAAAAGAGAAAAGAAAACCGTTTCGATTTTGAGAATTTTAATTTGGAAAAATTAAAAAATCCATCAATTAGAAACCAATTCGAGCTAGATGTTAAGAATAGGTTTGAAGCTTTAGAGCTTCCTGACGAGGACCACGAGGATATTGACAAGTTATGGGTAGAGATCAGGGATAATATTAAAGCGGTCGGTAACTCGTGTCTAGGAAAAAAGGAAAATAAGAATAACAAACCGTGGTTTGATGAAGATTGCTTAAAAATGTGCGAAAAAAGGAAAGCCGCTAAATTAAAAGCTCTAAATAATCCTAGCGAAGACAATCTGGAATACTTCCGAATCTCAAAGAACGAAACGACAAAATTGCTCAAAAATAAAAAAAGGGAGTATCTTAAAAATAAAATAATTGAAATAGAAACTAATAGAATCCAAAATAACGTAAGAGACATGTACAAAGGTATAAACAGATCACGTAAATATGTAGGGCCCGTAACGTCTGGAATTAGGGATGATAATAACAATATTCTGACCGATCCGGTTGACATATTGAATAAGTTTAAGGACCACTTTGACAATATTTTAAATACGGGAAATTATGATCTGTGTCCTCCTTCTGAGTACCAGAGTGCTGAACCGTTGATAGAAGGACCAAGTAAAGAGGAAGTTGAAGTAGCTATCGGTAAATTAAAATCATATAAAGCAGCGGGAATCGATAATATTCCTACTGAACTAATTAAGGCATGCGGGGAAGCTGGAGTTTCTAAAATACATCGGTTGGTTGAAAAGATCTGGGTGAACGAGAAATTACCTGAAGAATGGAAAGAATCTATTCTTATTCCGATTCACAAAAAGGGTCCGAGGACGGATTGTAATAACTATCGAGGAATTTCACTCCTTCCGGTATGTTATAAAATATTCACTGTAATCTTAACCAGTCGAATCACGGAATACGCCGAGGAAATTATCGGAGACTACCAATGCGGATTTAGACGGAATCGTTCGACTATTGATCAAATATTTTCTTTACGGCAAATATTAGAGAAAAAATTGGAGTATAACGGTATTGTTCACCAGCTGTATATAGATTTTAAAAAGGCTTACGATTCTATTGACCGCCAGAAACTGTATAATATTCTAATCGAGCAGGGAATTCCAAAAAAACTAGTAAATCTAGTCAGGATGTGCTTGACGGAGACACTCAATAAAGTCGGAATCGGTAATAATTTGTCCGAAAAATTTGAGGTTCGTTCGGGCTTAAAACAGGGGGATTCTCTTTCGCCTGTCCTGTTCAATTTGGCATTAGAACATGCCATTAGGGAGGTAATGCGTACCGAGAAAGGGTTGGATCTGGGCGGGACAACATCCGTGCTGGGCTATGCTGATGATCTGGTACTGTTAAGCGAAGACGTTGAAACTATAAAACTAAATACGACAACGTTAATGAAAGCCGGTAAAGAACTAGGACTCGAAATAAACGTGGATAAAACAAAATATATGGTTAGCTGCAAAAATGGCGATACTACTGGTGATATCGATATAGATGGTAATATGTTTGAACAGGTAGATAAATTTAGGTATCTAGGTTCTACGATAACTAGAAAAAACGAAATTGAAGAAGAGATTAAAGTTAGACTGAAGGCGGGGAATGCTTGTTATTTTTCTGTGACAAAACTACTCAGTTCGCGCCTCTTGTCCCGAAACTTAAAAATTAGAATCTATAAAACAATTATCTTGCCTACAGTTCTTTATGGATGCGAAACTTGGCCGCTTACATTAAGGGATGAGCAGCGTCTTAAGGTTTTTGAAAATAAAGTATTGCGTAGAATATTCGGACCGAAGAAGGATGAGTTAACCGGAGAGTTCAGACGGTTACACAACGCCGAATTGCGTGAGCTATATCCGGGTAATATAATTGAGGTAATTTCATCGCGGCGAATCAAATGGGCTTGTAAAGTTGTTGGGCTTAGTAACGAGAGAATTCCTAAAAGGTTAATATTTGCTGTGCCGAATGGTAAGCGTCGGAGGGGTAGACCGAAGCGAAGGTGGGAAGATTGCATTAAAGCTGATCTGAAGGGACTGGGTTTGGACGGCGAACGGTGGAAGGAGGTGTGTAACAAGCGATTGGTGGTGTCGGCATCGAACCTTCGGGTTCGCTAAGCCTTATTATTATTATTATTATTATTTATATACATATATGGTGTGAATGTGTTCATATATCACTATAATTATTGTCCACGTGACAGATTATTATGTTTCTAAATAAACAAATAAAAAGAATTCTATAAATTTGCAGTATATATCTCCGAGTGAATTTTCAATAGTAAAATATATTTATTTATTTGCAGCCCTAATTTTAGTGATAATTATTTTTGGAATTGTAAGACAGTGCTTATTCTAAATGAAATACGTATGTTTAAATTTATGGCTTCCTTTCATCCATTATTATTATATTTTTTTTTAACTATTAATAATAAAGCAAAGTAGGATTTTGATTAAAATCATGAAGACGAAAAAAAAAAATTAAAATTAATACTAAATATTTCACCTAATTGTTTTTTTAAATCGTTTTTTGTAAAAACATACGATACAGACAGGCTTAAGTGTCGGTATTTCAATGTGATTTTCTAATTCTTCTTGCAGACATGTGTATTTTGTATTAATTTTGAAGATATCGACATTATTTTGACTTTTTTTTAATAGACGAAGTATTATCAAGCTATTCTAAAATTAAATTAAAATGTGTTATCCATGAATTCTAGTAATTAATAAAAGTTTAACTATTTTCACAGTCAGTAAAACAAAATTATAGCAACAGATTTTCGTACAGATACTAATTGATTATTAAAAAATCAAATTCTGTTTTCTTTACTACATTAACATGGCATACTTAAATTTTGATTGTTTGATCAAATTTATTGTAATTAAATTTATTGTATATATAACTTTTCATAGTTGGTATATTTTGTAAAAGAGATGAAAGTTGCTGGTTTGATCTTCGACCTGAATTTTGTCACGTTTTCGAAATTCAGATTAGAAACCGTAATAATAGCTGAACCGTAGAGACTATTTTTTGTACGTTTTAAAGCGCTACGTGGTGGCACGAAATGTAACTAATATAGTCCACCAGGGGCCTAACAGTCAGAGAAATACCGTTCCTTGTTGCATTATATTCTTTTTTATTCCTTTTTTTTTTACCTTTTTTTCTGACAATGCGGTGTTTCGAAACTAAATTAAACCATATCTCTACTGAACACTTTTATTTTTAGTTCTAATGATGTAGAACTACATAGATGATATGAAAAATTAGACATGATATGAAAAATTTCAAATAAATATATTTTCCTTTTTTTATCACAGACCTAAATTTATTTTATGTTTTATACTCATCTCTAAAGTGTTGCTATCATATCATTAGGTAAATTAAAAATTAACTATGTTGGTTTGCTTATTTTTTTACCGATTAAATTTCGATGATGTTTAGATAGTCATAGATGACGTCTTATAATATTCATATTAAGCATTTATCGTAATTGATGCACGAATTTTCCTAAATCTATCTTCGTTGGTGAAATTTACAAATTCTTTCTTCCTTAATAAACATTTACTCATTATTTATAAACAAATTTTTTAAGGCACCTACTTATCTGTTTTACTGAAATCAATCAGGAAAACGGACATAAGTGCACCCAAATACGAAGAAAAATAAATTAAAATAAATATTAATGACAATAAATCTATTTAATTTGAGAGAATTAAAAAACAATGAATCAATGGTCTCATTTAATTTTCATTCAAATTTGTATTTGATATTTTAAAACATTTATCAGTTATTTAGAGCGTCATTTTATATTTTATAAAATATAAAAATATTTACACTCGTATCTTATCAACTTTATCACTAATAAGTTATTATATAGAAGTATTACATTGAAACGGTTTCTGTTTTTCTTCTTTTGGTTTAATGTACATAATTGTTTATAATTACTTTAATATTATATCATAATTGTAAAAAAATGACTGAATCTATAATAAATAATTAATGTTAAAAATCCTAATTATAAATAAACATTCATTGTAAATAACTTATTATATTATTAGGAAAGATTTTTTTTCGTATCTGTTTTATTTATTTGATGTTTGTGATTACATAGCAATTATTTATACTTTCCTATTGATCTTTGTATATTTTTAAGTTAATTTAATTTTTGTGAAATTTACAACAGCTATAAGAAATGTTTAATATTGGCATGAATAGCTGTTAACGCTTAATTTAGATGAGTTATGAGCATTAAATTTTCAACAAGATTTTTGACGTATGAAAAATTACGAAACTTTGGGGGAAAAAATCGTCATTTTAAATAATTGTAACGATTTTAAATTTATTTTATGTGAAATTTATTCTTAATTGTTATAATGTCTACGTAATTTTTTCGATTTAAGAAATACCTAGTTCTTATTTACATAATCTATAAATATGTAGATATTTTTATTTACAGTAAAATGCGGATAGTTAGGAATAAATAGATAGTGAATATCCACAGAATGTTTTATAGAAAACATTTTCCCACACGTATTTTACATATTTCGTGTTTTTTATTTTTTATCTGTTGAATTGAGTGTATCTTGTAATCAGTTATAATTTCATTATTTGTCTGTTTATTTATTCACTTTCATTTTAAGCTGCTGGCTCTATAGCTTATAAAAAAACAATTTATATTAAATTATCAGGTTATATATTATATCCACATTTAAATAATCGTCCTCAGGAAGCACGTGTTGAATCTTCTCAGTTGAAAAGGATATCAACCCCAATTAGGACAGCCTGAACTTCCGGCGTCTGGTGTTTAGGATTCGGTTGGGTGCTTTACAAAAAAAAAAAAAAAAAAAAAAAAAGCTTCAGTGGTGTCACGTCTAATGTACCGTAAAACTATCGTTCTAATTATTTTAGCATGATCATTAGATTTACAAGAAATTATATTTATGATTATTTTGTTTAAAACTGTTTTATTATAATTAAACGATAGAAGGTTAAAATATATAGAACAGAGGAAGAAATTAAATAAATACTTATCGATTTCCTTGACTTACCTTGGTTGCGTAATGCCGGTACTGAGGTTGAAGGTCACAGAATTCATCTCGCCTGTAAATTTTTTAATTCGGTTCTGTTATACCTGTATTAGATTATCTAACTCTGAAATATATTACATGTGTTAATGATTAAAATTATGTTTTACTTTTTACATTATTTATATTTTAATAAAGTTATGCATATATTTTGAAATAATTTGAATACAACTTAAATAGTTATTCCAAGTATGTTTACTGTTGTTACAAGTTAAATTAGGTTAGTGTGCCAGGTTGTATTTTAATCTCCGCTAAAGAGAGAGAGAGCATAGCTTGAAAACATCAATGGAGTTTCTGTATTTTAACTTGTGGGAACTTGTATAAACAAACACCGGTTTAGATATTTGGTATAGAGAGCGGGATGACTATATACCATCTACATAGCAGGAAGAGGCGGACGAGTATATAGGGTAGTAAATCAGACAGAATGACGACCCCACCCCATCACAGAAGAAACTGGCCCACCCCGGAGAGGGAGTGGACCAATTGAAGAGGGGGAATGCGCAAGATGGCCGCGGGGGCGTGGTGATTGCGACCACGCCCACCGCTCCGGTAGGTGCTGCCCCTAGCGGACTTTTCCAGCAACCTCCATTGTTGCCTTCATGTCCCTCACACGCCCCCTTTTTGTGTTTATTTATCTTCTGACATTAAAAGATAACATCGTTATTTCCCTAATTACGAAGCTTTTCTTGGTCAGGAGGAAAAAACAGGTAACAAGAAAAACATTCGTGGGCGTATTACGATTCTTTAATAAATATAATTCATTGTAATAATCTTACGAAAGAATCTCTTCATACTAATCACTGGAATCGAAAATATATTAAAAAATAAAATAAGTCTTTTTAACATGGATATTAGTAAATAATTTTTTTTTAATCCCAAGATTTATTGAAATATTTTAATTACAAAAGTTTTGTTTAATTCTGTCTTTTAATACTTTATTTGATATATAATAAATTGGTTATTCGGCTAATTATTATTATATTAATCGATTATTGCATCTTAGTAGAACAGAAAATGTTACCTGTTGGCCTTGATGTTAGTTTATCGTTGCGGCCAACAGATAGGGTACACGTCGCGTTAGCTGTACCGTTACTTAACTTCAAAAATAAAATTTACATACCTGCATACTTTTCATCTATTTCATTTATTAATTTTACTTTGTATGTATGCAGGTAACACAAAAAATTTTTTTTGCAATAAATATTACAATAAAATTTAATTATTGTCTTATGCCTAATTTTAGGTCATTTATAGTTAGTATAACACTGCTGTAGTTATTTCTAAAGGTCACAGGAAAAATAAATATTCCTGCTAAAATATATCATATAGATTAATATAATATAGATGCCTAATTTAATGAATAATATTATACCTATATATCTTCCTAAAGTTTACTAATCACATTTTAAAACCATCGAAATATGGTTCAATATTAGGTAATATTGAACGCAAGGTACGGAAAATTCTTAAAAAGACGTATATATTATCGACGTAAGGAGATGTATATGTTATTATTTTTTATAGCCATATATGTGAAGTTATTTAGATGCTTTACGTGAGATATTTTCAGAAGTAGTTACACAAAAATTGTTTCTACTCTTACTCCTTTCGCCACAACGGTCCTTTAATATTTAGTTTAATACAAGCGTTTCTTAAAATAGGATTGAGGCGCTGATATAAACCGGATTCATCAGAGCAATCCATGTCAGCTCAAAAAGAAAAAGAAAAAAAGTAGTTTTAAATGATCTGTTAAGATCCCTGCATTATGCTGGTAATTTTCCAAAGTTGTCTATTTATTGAAGAAATTAAAGAACTTTTAATTTCTTTTCAACAAAATTCTCCCCTAATTCCACCATGCTGTTACTTTTTTTTTGCTACTTCGTATTGCAGGAGATATACTTTATTGTTTGAAATCCTTGAAAAAAAAATATCTATGCTGTTTGCTGTTATTTTATTCGTCGTTTCTCATATATAGGTCATTGAGTTTATGCGAGTATCTACGATACTTGAATGGCTATATTGAGTTTTTTTTTTAATTTATATTTCAGTATCACTTCAAATAATAGATTAAAGGTAATCGGATTATCTGTCAATAATAGATATCCAATTGTTAATCAGGTAGTATGGTGGGTCAGGATAACACATTTGATTGAATGTATAAATAAGACGAAAGAGCACGCATGGATATTTTACGAATGGATGACAAGGATAGTGCTGATAATCGGAAAATCGATCCGCAAATGTTAACTATAAGTTTTTTAAATTATTATGTCTTAATGATATTTACAACACTATTAAATAAATACATCTAGTAAATTTGAACATATCGACATAATGACATGAAAATCCCTCTTGAGTAATTACCCAATGGTAGCACTCTAATGATATGTCTACATTAGGAGATCACGGGGCCATCTCCTTTAATCATCTGAGCCATCCCTCGGAGGGTTATCAGGAATTGAAGAGGAAGTAAGGTTAGAAACGAGAGGGTTGGGATGATTCTGAAGTTTATTATGGAAGGATAGGTATCTGGATTGGGCGAGATCTGAAACATAAGAAAAATTAAGGTCATTATGGATGGTTTTATTTGTAACAAAGTAGGGAGCATTGAAGATTTTACGAAGGATTGGATACGAGAGGAATTCCATGGTTTAGTGGAGCCCCATAGCTCAACTCCGTAAGTCCAAATAGGCCTTGTTATAGTCATGTATATCTCTTTTGTAATTAATTGGAAGTTTAGAGCGTTTGTCTAGTAAGTGCTGGAGTAATCGGAAACGTCGAGCGGTTTCTTGTCGTTTCAGTCTAGTATGTTAAATATAAGTAAAATGAAACAAATAGAAAATTTCGTATGCTTTCATGGAGGCTTTTTTTTGTCAACCTCTGAATAAATTCCTCAACTTCCTAACAAAAGTAGTTAGAAATTCTTTATTTTCAGAAAATATTTTTGAAAACTAAGAATAATACTTTAAGCAAGTGCCCATTCCAAACAAACAAAAAAAAAAAGATTGATTAGAGTTTGTTTCGGAGAGAAAAAAATGGTGCATGATTCGAGAGGAATAAATTTATAAATTGAACTATAAAAAAAAATGTTTTGTTTACAATAATGGCGCGATGAAATGAATTTATTTTTAATTTTCATTTGAATAAAACTATTAAAAAAATATATTGATGATTGTTAATTTTTTTTTTTGGGGAAATTACTTAAAAAATGCAACCGGTTTCGGATATTTAAAAAAAAATTAATTGTACCATCGGATTCATTGGGTGTTTTGCATGAGAATCGATACATATATCAATTTTCATAAACATCGATTTACAAAAAATTACAGTTAGTTAATAAAAATAGCTCAAAATTGTCAATAATTATCCATATTATAACAAAATAACTATATACCCAAACTGACTCCTAATATATTCTTACGATTATGCGGCCACTATGATAGCTGGTAATTATACAAAACGTATGACCCTCAGATAGTGGCGTCCCTAGAGAGGGACAGAGAGGGCGGTTTTCCCCCAGGCCTCCCTAAAGGGGGATCCATAGCAGGAATTTTTTTTTAATTGAAAAACTTCATTGCCAAAACAAGTAGAAAAAAATACAATCGGATGAACTTTTTTTTTAAATGGAATTTTCTCTATCTGGATTTATTTTATTAACCCTATTAATCCACTTCAACTAAATAATCACAATTTATTAACGAGCTTAATAATGAAGTAACATCAAAGAATGTATATATTTTTTTGTGGAGATACTGAAATAATATTTATATTAAGCTGGCTAATTATCATTACCAAGAATCAACTCGATAGCATTAATATATTAAAAGATGAAACAACACTTTTTAATTCTAGAAAGTTTTTTGTTAGGGGTCTTCAACATTAACCTGCCCCTTGCCCTACTTTTTTTTTAGGGACTCACAAAAGAAAATCCCCCTCGGGCCCCAAATGGTCTGCTCGCATACACAGTACTTCTATAAACTTTACTAATTCAAAGCCTTTATTTTATTTTACAAATATGAATTTTATTTTATACCATAAAGGTGTTGGGTTTTTTTCTGGTGAATACATATTTACCAATAAATAATATATATTTTTAGTTAATGGGGGCAGGGTAGATCAGTGGGCAAGGCACAAACTTCTAAAACTCAAGGTCCCGGGTTCGAATCCAGCTGATGTAAGGTTATTATTTATTCTGTTCATTCAGCCATAGATCGATTCTGTGGCACATCCATCCACTATATAGTGATTACTGTTAATTTAATAATTAATCAAGGGAGAAAACCTGGCGGTTAAGCGTGATCCCGGGTTCGAATCCAGCTAATGTAAGGTGATTATTTATTCTGCTCATTCAGCCATAGATAGATTCTGTGACACATGCACCCTCTATAACGTGGTTACTATTAATTAAATAATTAATTAAGGAGGAAAACCTGGCGCTTGAGCGTGATTCTGGTCCGATCATCTCCTTGCACAACCGTTGGCCTTCAAACAGTACTTCCTTACAAAGTACTGAACCCAAGATGCTTAATGTGTTGGAGTAATACTTTTTTTTTGTTTTATTTGTTATATGAGCCTTTCAGTTGACAGAATGACTAATTCCAATTTCAACATTTTTGAGTAAAGTCATTTTTGTGATTTTAGTTGATTGCAGAGTAGATGATTTTATTGTTGAAATAACTAACTATGAATATAGATATACGTTTTCCTATATATTTTTTTATTTATTTATTGAATAATATAGCTATCTTGGACGGCATAGATTATAGGGAGATAAGACAACATTCACACAATATCACTAAAATTATAATAAAAAATGTAAAAATTGGAGTTAGTCATTCTATCAACTGAAAGGCTCATTAAATAAGCTGTATCAAAAAAAAAACTATCAAATTTATTTACACACACACACACACACACACACACACATATATATATACATACATATATATATATATATATATATATATATATATATATATATATATATATATATATATATATATATATATATAAACAAATATATATATTTTATTCACATTTCTTTATTGAATAATATTATAATTAGTCATAGTAGTCATAGTGATAAAGTAACTCATGAATATATTAAAGGCTTAAATAAAAAGAATGATTTAAAACAGGAAAGGTTATGTTTACGCCGATTCTCTTTACATTATTTGTCATTTCTTTGTAAGTTAGGTATGTAGTTCTTGAATAGAAAAATTATTTTTAAATTAAATTTATGTAAATTCTGTAAATTTATGTATTTAATACATTTTTCGAGTAATTAAATGTTTCATCGAACCGAGGCACTGGATCGCTTGCCCCATCCTCTGGTTACACAGTACCTTAATTAAGTTACCCCTCCACCAGATCTTTAGTGTAGCTTACATAACAGCTCATGTTACTCCATGCTTTGGGATAGTTAAATTTGAACCCTATCCAGCTCATACTATTTCCGAGAGACTCTATCCTAATAGTGATTAAGAATATTATAAAACGAGTGTTCGACCATATAATCATTGTTAAAATTTGAGGAAAATATAAATTAATTTCAATGTTTCCAAACGTTTTTTTCCTACTCATACATACATTTTTATATGGATTTACAATACAAAACGTTAAAGCATCCATTTATATCCTTTTTAAATTATTCGCAATTAAAATTCTGAATCCATTGTTACTAAAAAAACAAAAACAACTAAGGTGTGCTTTAGACCACACAATAGAAGTAAAAACATCTACTAGGCGAGATTAATAATATTAAATATAAATTAGAAATAATAGCTCATTAAATAGAGGATGACATTTTGAACATTTTCCTCACTTATAGGATGCAGGTCCGATTTTTAGTTTTTGAGATATTTTAATCCATATGCAAAAAACCTTGTCTAGGCGACTTTACCCGAGCGTTACACATCAGAGATCTGACGGCTCAATATAATTCACTCTCCACAAAAAAGTTCAAAACATTCCTAAAGAAATTTTCACTTCAAAAAAATATTTGAACCTACTTTGCCCCTTCGGTCGGCACAAATTGTTTTATTTTACATTGTAAATAAATCAATGGAAAATAAAACAATATTTTTTATGAGGTATAATAAAATTACTCATGCTATAGGAATATGTCAATATAAATTTTTATAATAAAGTTCTACTAAAAAAAATATAAACAAAAAAATAATATGTTATTATTAAGGATTATTCTTTTCGATTTCGATGTTATCCTTTTTTTTTTTTTGGAAGGGAATTCAAGAGGCTTTCAAATACTCATATGTTTAATGAAGCAAAAACTGTGAACTTTTTGAGTTATTCGTAAATTAAATTGTGATTCCATGGCTACTTTTTTCTCAGCCTCTTTTCGGGGAGATATGTTATATTTATAAATTTAAAGGGAAAACTAGTTTCTATTAAAATCCTTGCAGCCGTTTTTGTGCTACAGTTTATGGCGACACAGGTTTTTCGTTTGCCATTTTGAATCAGGTTATAATGAAATGGATTTAAAAACTGTTCTGAATTTAATTCAATTTCAAAGAAATCGGTAAAAAAAAACTGTCAGAAATTACCAGTTTGAACACAGTAATCGATAAAACTAAAGCTCGTCAACTGCTACTAAACAAAAACAAAAAAATCTATTGAAAAACAGAGGAGAAAAAGGGACTGAACTGTTTTGTGTTTCCTTATTTATATGATGATACTTATCATTTTCATTATGATACCGACTGGATTACGAATTTAGACCGGGAAAATAAAATAAAAAGATTGTAGTTAAAACCACGAAGATAGGAAATACCAGGTTATCTCTAATACCCGGGTTGAAGAAAGATACTACACCCTACAATTTACTGCATTAGACATATGGCGGTGTGCCTGATACCTGTAATAACGTCGGAGTCAGTTGGCGTGTACCACAATCCTGGGATTTACCGTACAATTAATGATATGGTAGCATTTTATCGAAACTCGACATTTTCTTAAGTTTTATTTATCAATGCCTTCTGACGATTATGTAAAGAATCCTCTAAAATAAGAACATCAGGGTGCGTTTAGACATTTCACAAACTATGGGAAATAATTTTTTTTTTTTTTTTTTATTTTTTATTATTATTGGTGATATTTACAACTGTATTACAAGTAAAAATACATTCAGTAAATGTGAACAAAGGAATAAAATAGCATGAAATCACATGTTGAGAAACTACCCATTGGTAGCACTCTAAAAATGTATTTACAAAAGGAGATCTCGAGGCCATCTTCTTTTCAGACGCCTCTGAGGGTTGTCAGGGATCGAAGAGGAAGCAAGGTTAGAAACGAGAGGGTTTGGATGGTTCTGAAGTTTGTTATGGAAGGATAGGTATCTGGATTGGGCCAAGTCAGAAACATAAGGAACATTAAGGTCGTTATGGATGATTTTGTTTGTGACAAAGTAAGGAGCAGTGAGGATTTTACGAAGGATTTTGGATTGTAAGGATTGAATACGAGAGGAATTCGATGGCTTAGTGGAGCCCCAGAGCTCAACTCCGTAAGTCCAAATAGGTCTTATTGTAGTCATGTATATGAGTCTTTTGTAATTGACTGGGAGGTTAGGGCGTTTATCTAATAAGTGCTGGAGTAGTCGGAAACGTCGAGCTGTTTCTTGTCGTTTCAGTCTGGTATGAGGATTCCAAGTTAGACGTTTGTCTAAGTGGAGTCCAAGGTATCGAATTTGTTCAGCAGGAATAAGTGGGGTATTATTAAAGGGTACTGTAGGACAAGAGGACATAGGTTTACGACGAAGGGTAAAGGTGATTTGATGGGATTTATTGGAATTTATTTTTATTCTCCAGTTTTGACACCATTCTTCAAGGTTTGTGATGTGTGATTGAAGGGTTTGGAAATACAAATATTTAAATGCATTTTTTCTTTGTTTCTTGATTTTGATGTTTTCCATCTGCTGTCTGTAACAGCAGAAATATAAAAAAAAAGTTGAGCTTAGCGGTAATGTCGCTGTTAGTTTGGTTAGGTCATAGGTGGGGAACCTTTATATCATTAGAGGCCGGAGTAAGATGTAGTAGTGATAATGGAGGCCGTAATAATTATTTATATTTTACCGTTGCTATTTTTATTTATCACTAAAAACAAACATCCATATACAAACCTTCATCTTAATTCTATTAATTAGCAAATTGTCATCTCTTAAATAATTAATTATTGATTAATTATAGGACTAGATTAAAAAACATCGCGCAAAAACGTTTGGAGGCCGCAACTACGTCACAGGGGCCAAATGCGGCCTCCAAGTCCGCTGTCCCCACCGATGATGGGTTTGATAGTTGTGTTTCTCATAGTTTGTGAATTGTCTAAACGGTAAATAAATCCGAACTTAAAGTTAAGCTCAATCCAATACCTTATAAAATCGTGACCTAATTTATCATTCCATGGATTACAGGTTCTTCTTTATGTTTATTTTCAAATGAAACTTGTATCTTATTTTATTTGATGTTTTCGATGCTCCTGGAAATTTAATTAACTGTAAATGAATTATTTGTTACACAATGGAATCCATGTATATCTGGTTAAGAATTTAACATAAAAAAAAAATCAGTTGTTACATTTTTGTTCTCGTTTCTACTAAAAATAGTTATTGCATGAAAATAATATCAGAAAATTGTCAAAACTGTTCGGTGTAGGTCTGTAAATGCTTATATATAGAAATATGTTATTGTATAGGAAGATGCATAGTCAAGATTTTCAGTCAAAATGTTTTAATCTAGTTTCCGACATTTTGATCCTGTCATGTGGGTAATAATTTTTAGTTTTTAGTCCTTATAATAACTCACATACTGGGGTCGAATCGTAGTCAATTAGAATAAAAACAATTTTGACCGAAAATCCTGACTATACATCTGCCTAGATATTTTTAAATACAAAGGTAGGCTATTTTTATTTCTTTATGTATTTTTTTATTGGTTCTAACTTTTTTAATTAAATGATATTTAGTTGTTTATTTGTTTTAAATAATTTTACTGAGCACAGAAAATTGCCATTATTTTAAACTAAATAACTTCGAGATAAATTATTTCTATCTAGACCTAGTAGGGAGGGGTAAATATTTATTTAGATAACTTGAGGCCGAGATGGTCAAGAGCTTTAAGGCGTCATAACCTTAGCAATCTCGGCGGCAATTTATTTCGTAGCGGTACAACGATTGATTTTCAACTTTCCCACTCTGTTGAAATAGGTTGGTGATACCTGTGGAATGAACATTTCGTTTCAGCACTTCTATTGTAATTATATATATATATATATATATATATATATATATATATATATATATATATATATATATATATATATATATATATATATATATATATATTTATATATATATATATATATATATATATATATATAAATGATTCTCTACTTCCGTTTTATAAATCATATTTTATCACAATAAAAATATTTTTTGTTTTAAGCACTGGCTTATATACAACAATCAAATAAAAACGGATAAATTAAAGAATAGAAAAAATAATAGACAACTAAGCTACGTAAAGTTATAGAAAACACGTCTCCGTACAAATATAATATAGCATTTTAAAATACGAGTAGATTCATACTTGTATTCAATATTTGCATTCTCCTCAGCGAACTCCAAACCTTGTAGTCCGGGAGCCCGTGGCATAAAAGGTGTCATATTTCATGCTAAGCTTTTTCCTTATAAATTGATCTTATCCTCAGGCCTGATGAGAAAAATACACGTCTGCCAGCATATAGTCGCTGGAATAAAAAAATATATATATATATACAGATCAAGAGCTTTATTATGTAAGCCAATGTATTCACATGTATGTTGTCTTATATACAGATTAAGAGCTTTGTAATATCGAAAATTGCGAAAAGTAAGCTTTTATGTATAGTTTCGGAGTTTAATCATTAAGTTATAATTGCTCTAGCCTTTGGATAGATTAAGATAAGATAGTGAAGTAATATATATTCTTATAAAAAATTTAATATTAAACAACTTTCTTCCTCATGACTTTTTTTTATAAAAAGATAAGATGAAGAGTTGGCGAGTCAAATAATGATATAAATGAGATGCAACATTTTTTTCCCGAAATTATTGACTTACGAAGATGGATATCATGGAAACTATAGAATATAGCAAAAAAGATAATATAAACATTTCTATTGAAAATTTTGTCAGCGTTAATTTCACATATGACATTATTATAGACAGCAAAGTTTTACTGACATGAGTGAAAGACTGAAAAAAGTAAACTCCTTGAATCGTGAATTCAATTTTTCGACTTAAAATCCACGAGTATGGAGTAACTGACTATTATTTCATGTCTTAAGACTGTAAATATTATAATATAATTGGTAATTGGTTGACTGTCGTGGATAATGAAGAGAAGATTAGTTGGGGTGGTCAGTCAAAAAGGAAGGCAAAAATAAATGATAATATTTATTTTTTACATATCCCGACGTTTCGACCTGAAGTTCAGGCCTTCATCAGGGCTGTCTCCTTAAGTTTCGCAGGGAGAATCTATAAATACAGTAAATATTATAAATTGAAAAAGTCAGTAGTGTTATATCTATAAGCCCTGTCTATATATACGCTTACAACCTATGTAGGGTGGTTCTCAATCTTATCTTTACATGCCCGCCATTTTATATTCCATCGGCTACATGCTGGCAGATGTTAATTTTTCTCGTCAAGCCTGTGGATATGGTCAATTTATAAGAACAAACCTTAGTATGAAATATGGCATAATTTTTTGCCACAGGATCCAGGACTATTGGAAATCCCTGAGCTTCTTCATCGTCGCATTGAAGAATCGTTGTCTGGGAAATGATTCATTTTCTTGAAGATCACAAGAGTATAAAGTTTAGCATTGTCTTTCTGCGTACTATATTGAATAGTAAATATGTATTATTATGTAATTGACTTATTCATCTAATACCATGTTACAAATACTTGATGTATTATTATTATTTTATATTAATGATGTTTAATTTTCGCTGTTGCAGCTACTCGTGGAGTACGACGACCGGGAGTGGGTGCGAAGGGAGTGGGTGCAGCCCCACAAGGGCGGCGCCTTCCAGGTCTTCCTGGTCGAGAGGACCCTCATCTGGTGCAGCAGGGCGGAATCGCCGCGGTCTCCATCGTCGTCTCTCGGTCCCGCTCTGGTAAGGCCCATTATTAAATAACAAATTATTATAAAAAAAATTATAAATAATTCTTTTTTAAATGGATTTATTCATAAAATATGATCTTGGGAAAGATACTATAATAAGTATTAGTAGAAAAAGGCCCTTTCAGTCTCGATAAATAATTGCTTTATTTCAAATTTATCCAAATTTTTCCCTCTTCAGGCATCTTCAGGGATAATCTGATTTTACATGTAATTTAAATTATAGCAGTGCACCCACTTGCGCACTTAATCAAAAAACACAACCGAATGAGTGCACTGCTATAAGCTAATGAAAATTTAAATTACATTTTCCTTGCCATTACAGGCCATGTAGATCTTTTGCCAGCTCCACCTCTGCCTGTCTTGGGCTATTTCTTTCCATTTATCTGCACGTAGCTCTATTACATCTTTGTTGATTCTATCTATCCATCTGCTTTTCGGCCTTCCACGTGGTCTTTTGCCTTCTATTGAGGTATTTATTGTTACGTAGAGGCTTCCAGATGGATTCCTACGAGCTAGATGCTCCGCCCATCTTATTCTTCGTGCCTTCATGTCGTTGGGTTATTGATTGACCAGTTTCTGTTAGCAGTTCTTTATTGGTCTTTCTTCTCCCTGTGATTAGTACTCTGAACCCAGATCGCTCCGGTTATAGCGGAGAGAATTTTTCTCTCAAATCTTTCAATAATTTTATCTAGGATACTGGATAGTGTCTATGTCTCACAGCCATATTTTATACCTGGCTTTATCCTGTAGTGACTAGTGTACTAAGGAGGGATATCTGTTTCAGGCCAATTCTACAACAAAATGGACATAACATTGTTATTTATGTTATAAGTAGCATTGAAGATTTTTCGAAGGATTTTGGATTGTAAAGATTGAATGCAGGAAGAATTTTATGGTTTTTGTGGAGCCCCAAAGCTCAACTGCTTCTTTCAAAATAGTCCAGATAATGGTAACATAAATGATTTTTTTGTTGTAAGTCCAAAGGATGATGCGTTTATCAAGAAACTGTTACAGTAGGTAGTCGAAATCTACGACCTATTTCTTGGCATTTCAGTGAGGATTCAGTAAGATGCATGTCAAGATAGTGTTTTAGGTGGCGGGTCTGTTCCAGTCCCCTGATCCTCGTAGTATCATCCCAAAGTTGAAAGACTACATAGTTGCGAAGACTTACTAATATTGTCATTGAAAGCATTGGGATCGAATATATTGAATATATCTCTGAATATTACTAAAAATGTTTCGGATTATTACATAAAGCTGTTAAAAATCACAATAAATTACAATAGTTTTGATAACTAGGTAGCGTATAAAATAATCCATCAATGAGTTTTATTAGATAATGTCAGTCAGTTCAATATACATTAATCATTATTTATTAAAAGAAGATTGCGTGGAAGTTCTGGTTGATCAAATCTCTGACTTGTTCAAGGTTAACCTGTCGAACTACTCGTAGCTGATTATGCCATAATGAATCATATGCATTCACATTGTAATGTCAATATTTATGTACGTGGACAAACCAATATTACACGGTTTGTTTGCTTTTATAAGACCAGTCCAGTGTAAACTAGTAAATTAAAGTAAAAAAAAAAATAAGGAGAAAATAATTAATAATTAGCTACAAATATGGGGATTAGTCCATCATCGAATGTAGAACTAATCATGAAAAGTCTCTTTATTTGTCATGTCCGTTACAATCCAAAATGTTTATTCAATGGTGGAAACATAACCCTTTCGGTAAATTGTTATGTTTCTCTTCATACCTCTCTCCTCTCAAAAAAACATTGTTCTTGAATGTTGAAAATAATTCTATGATGGGTAAGAAATTTTGTTTAGAATTTCTTCTAGATTCACCTGATAAAAAAAATGTTGTATGAGCTGTAAATTGATATACTTGATGTTAATTTCAAGCGAATTCATCCTGAATCAGATTCTGTCATCTCTTATAACTTCGAAACTATCGACAAAATAATTTGAGTAAAATAGATGGCCAACAATCTTATGTAAATTTTTAAAACAATTTTTTTTTGTTCCGCTTCTTATTTTAATTTATTAAATGCCAAAAGGTTTTTCTTCATTAACTTAACTGTTGATTCTACCCCTATCTAGAATTTTTATTATACTAATACTAAGATTTATTCTTAATTCATTGATTAATCGATATTGTTGTATTTTTTGCAGACATTCACGACTCTTGTCGGCGAACTTCCATCTGGACAAGAAGCTGTCGAATTCATCCGAGACAGACATCTCGCCTTCCGCGATCCAACCACATTCAAGACCGTACAGGTAACTCAATTTATTACTTAGTCCTAATTATCCACACTCGCCGTTAATTACGACTCAGCAGCCGTGTTCCCGAAAGTGCTGAAAGGCAGACAACAACGAGGATAAAAATACTCCCAAGTGTTGGGGGTGGGGGCAGATGTTGGGGCTGTGGTTTATGGCCCCCAGCTGTTCTAGTATCCAGGTCACGTCCCATATCTGAGGCTAGTATTTACTTTTACTAGTACTAGTATTTATTTACTAGTATTTATAGTTTGGCTTAAACAAAAATTTACTAACTAGTTATGGAATTGAACCCAACTTTTCTTTATGCCGAGTTGACCAGTTATTGACCTTGCAAAATAATTGTCAATTTAAATATTATCCAACTTTGGCAGATGCATTAATAAAACGCTACATGTCGACCTACACTTTTTAGGAGTAGACCAATTTAAAAGGACTCTTTGAAGCGTAGGTCCATATGGGTTTAATTAGATAATTGCAAGAGTTCAGTTTTTGTTTTAAGTTTAATTTTGAGCGTCTTGAGGGAAGTGAGTATAACAGTCGTAGTCTGAGGTTTAAAGTTTTTCTTTTTTTGTTGATATGTGGGCCCCATGTCATTCTTCTGTCGAATGTCAGTCCAAGATATTCTATTTTGTCTGTTTGAGAAATTTCGGCATTGTCAAGGCAATCAGGAGGACATGTTCCATGTCGAAGAGTGGAAGTGATGTGTTGTGAATAATCTTGGTTTAGTAATTTTTCAGAGTTTGCACCAACCTTTTAGTTCTGTTATATGATGTTGTAAAGTCTGTGAGACGTATATTGGGTTTTTATGCATAGGTGTATCGTCTGCGTAAGTCGCTATAATAGTTCTGGCGCTGTTAGGAATGTCGTGTGTGTATATAATGTATAAAAGCTGAGCGAGTACTGACCCCTGAGGAACTATTTACATAGAATAATAAAACTGGTTATGTGAAGGTTTAATTTAAATTTTTTTTTTTTTCATGGTTGGGTTGAAGAAGTTAGTGTTCACACTCCTGCTTCTTTTGAAGTTAACTTCTTTGTTTTTAACTCTGAATAACTACCAGAACATTATCTCGTGCCCGAATGGGTAAGACAATTGGCTGGCGGAGCAAACATACTCCGTTACTGGATCCACATTCCAGAAAATCGACCAATTTGTTCCACTTTTCCTGGAAGCCCGATGTAAACTGTAAATCATTAAAGACACTCCTAATTGAATGAGGTGTTCTCCAACGGAGTTTTATTTCACTTTTATAAATTTAATACTTTTTCAAAGTCATTTTATTAGTCTGAATTTTTTATCTTTTCTCGGAAGGGAAAATTCCATCTTTTATGTTTTAATGGATATTTTCCAATGAGGAGTTGTCGAGGTCTTTGAAAGTCTTTTAGGAATTCCTTTAGCTGTATTTATTATATCCTTTCAAGAATTTTTCTTTACAACCGACTGGCCTATTCACCGATATTAACTCTGCTATATGCATGGATAATTCGGAACCTAATATACCGATCCGAAACGGATCTTTTGTATTTACTAAAGAATTGTGTGAAGTGTAGCGTCATGACGTATCCAACCTTATACAGCTCATTTCGAGGAATATATCTGGATGAAATATATATATTTATTTTTAATATTATACTTGGTACACAAAAGAACAACTCCTTATTGAAAGAAACTTGGCTGACGGAGTTGAATTCTGGGAATCAGTAAATGCTAAAAATATTCACCAACATTTAGACAGTAAACAAAATTTAAAAAGTGAACCCGAATATTCTTTTCCAATATCAATACAAGTTGCATATATCAAAAAATACATCAATAGCAAGTTCCATTTTTTGGGAACGTCTGTGCTATTCACAAATTCATGAAGCTCATTCATTCCATGGATATGTTGTTTGAATGCTTCATGGAACTGAAGAGAAACTACCGTCTTCATGGGCGTATCTACGAGGGGAGAGGAGCTTTCTGTCTGAAGCCTCCCCCAAAATGGTAAAATATAACCATGTTTTATGAAAAAAAAAAAAAACCTCTTAAAGTATTATTGCTAGTGTAACTACATTTAAGAAGATTTAAGGAATCACTTAAAACACCATTTCATATAGGTAGTTAGTTCCTTTCTTTTTTTCCAAAGTAATTATCGTTAATTTTATGAAAAAAAAAGATTTCGGGCTGAAGCTCTCCCCAAAATTAAATCCTGGATCCGCTAATCACCGTCTTCAAATATAAAGTAACTAATACACACTCAGCTATTCCGATACTGATGGATATGTTTTGCTACTTTTAACGTGTAGAATAAGGAGAAGAATCATCTAAAAGTATTAGCAACATAATGATATACCTTAAGATGGATTAACTTTAGGACTTAGTGGGTGACTTTGGGACAGCGGGTAATATTTAGTTTGTGGTGATTCCGTGGTGGATACACTGTTTGCGCAGCACGGACAGTGCATGTACTGCGCTACTACCTTGCACACTACTCTTGAGGCACAAGCGGAAGTTTCATAAAAACAAGAATTTTGAAAAACGCAATGGACGAGTGTAGTGAACTAGGGTTCCCAAACTGTCGCAAGATAATAGCGCAGTACATGCCTACACAATGCACGATTTTGAAAACTGAACCAACACAATGGTATCCACCACGAAATCACCACAAACTAAATCTTACTCGCTGCCCCAAAGTTTGTTGTGAGGGATGGTGAGGGCAAGTCCTAAAGTTGCCCCATCTTACGGTACATGGATTAAATTTTCATTTAGCCCTAAAATAACCTAAAAAACATGGTCGGGGGCATGGCTGGAAGAGCTGTTATGATTTAACAGCTTTTCTGACGTGGCAGACACAAATGAGTTAACCATGTTTTCCTGTTGAAAGGATCATAAAATGAAGTTGAATGATATCGAAGGTGTTAATATTTATATCGGTGCTTCATACTTCTCCAAAGAAGGCTTGATAGCGATACGGTACATTGCATTTGAGTCTTAAGTCTATAAATCCTATACGGGGATAGAAAGCGTTTACGAGCAAATTCACATTTGTGTGTTATGGGGAGTGACGAATAAGATTCGATAAGAAAGTTGTAGTGTTATGTGGCTTTGTTTATATGAATATAGTTGTATTAATATAGGTTCTATGTCTTACCCCGTGTATGAGGCAAGATGGACAACCTATTTCTTTCAATTTGTAATATGCATAACTAAATTCTTTGTATATTGATAATAATAATAATACTTTATTTATTCTGGGACGGGTCCCTTTAGACAGAAATATGTTCTAAGGAGCCTCAGAGATGCATAAAAAAAATACAGAGTAATTGAACAGTCATAGTTAACAAATAAAAAAATTATAAGTTACTTTCTAATTTTAATCAATTAATAATAAAAAAATAAAAATTGGAAAAAAAGATGAAGTAAAAATAATGCAGTACGAACTACTAATTTATATAAAAATTTACAGTAGTATCTGTTTACAATATCATGGGAATTGGGTGGATAAGAAATGATTGAACAGGCGGGATTTAAAGGTAGTAAGGGTATTGGATTGACGATCGGATAATGAACGATCTGTCAAAAGCAGCGGTTCGGTGGGCCCTTATGTATAGATCAGAAGACCTTGATAATATAATTATTATTCTCGTTCAATAGAATATGCATAAAATATAATAGAAAAGGTTCTATTTTGTTTATATTAACCCATTTTCATTATAGGTTGAAGCTAGAAATTTTTCTTTTAATTGAAACTTTAGACCTTTTTTGTATTTTCAATAATTTTTGAAACAGAAGCATTACGTAACTTTTGATAAATGATTAATGTGTTATGGTGCTTAATAGTTCCAAATCTCCATTTGTAATAACGTGGATTTCACTTTTATTGATTTTAATTTTCAAGGATTTATTTTTCTTTTGTTTGAATAATGTTTAATAGGTGGTGTGACAATCATAAATTTATAAGGGAAATAAAAAAAACAACTGTTCAGGTCGAAGTTTAATCTAGTTTTTCCGTAAATTAGTTAACAGACTATTGCTCTCTTTTGTTTAAAGTGTTCTGGATTCATTCTGCATCTTTGCAGACCATAGGTCGTGTCAAAATCGTGTTTTCTAGCGGCCATATTTAATACTCTAATCTTAAATAAGTTTATTTATGAGGTTTACAAAACTTAGCACTAGTTACATGAATACACAGGCGGATTTACGGGGGGGGGCTTTCGGGTTGAAGCCCCCCCCCAAAATGGTAAAATGTAACCATGTTTTATTGTAAAAAATATTTAAAAATTATGTCTTAAAGTATTATTGCTCGTTTAATTACATTTAATAGGACTTCAAGAATCACTTAAACACCATTTCATATAGATAGTTAGTATCTTTCTGTTTTTCTAGAGTAATTATCGTTATATATATGAAAAAAAAGCTTCCGGGCTGAAGCCACCCCCAAAATTAAATCCTAGATCCGCTAGTGCATGAATACCGCTTTATTCTCGTTTCTTGCTGTTTGTTTCTTCTTTGACTGTTCGCGTGAGAGCTTGTTTAGACAGATGTGATATACCAGCTACATACTAACGCTAACGTAATTAAAGAAAACTAAAGCGGAATGATATTAGTTTGTGACTCATTTTAGGAAATAAATAGCGATGATAATAAGATCTATTTGGACTTACGGAGTTGAGATATGGGGCTCCATTAAACCATCGAATTCCTCTCGCATCCAATCCTTACAATCCAAAATCCTTCGTAAAATCCTCAATACTCCTTACTGTGTCACTAATAAAATAATCCATAAAGACCTCAATGTTCCATATGTTTCCGATTTGGCCAAATCCAGATACCTATCCTTCCATAATAAACTTGATAACCATCCGAATCGTCTTGTTTCTAACCTTGCTTCCTCTTCGATTCCTGATAACCCTCCGAGGCGTCTGAAAAGAAGATGGCCTCGTGATCTTCTCATGTAGACAAATTATTAGAGTGCTACCAGTGGGTAGTTTCTCAACAAGCGTGTTTCATGTAATAATATTTCTCTTTACAAATTTACTTGATGTATTCATACTAATACAGCTGTAAATATCATAATAAAAGCTTAAAAACAAAAAAATAGCGATGAAAACAAATCTTTCCCTGATAGAACATCGAGTAATTAACCCTACAACTTATCATTATATTCTTTCATCGGTATCATGTGAGATGATCGTTAACAAACTTAACGTGGCGTTAGTTTTAAGTTAGTTCCTCTGGTAGTTAAATCAGTTAGAGGAGTAGCGGTGAATAAATATGGGCTGCTTCCTAGTTGCATTGAAGTTGAGGGACCAAGTTGGATAGAATGGCGGCAATCCAGATCGGGAGGTAAAACTATTTATAGGACTGGGGCTAGCTCCCCCTCCCCCTTCCTGTAACTTCCACCCTTTTGATCTGTTGTAGTTTCCATGATAGTTGATAGTTATTCACCTGGACCCCTTTAGAATCCTCGGCTTCACTTCAATAAATAGATTGAGCTAAGTTAAGGCCGGCTATTATAAAGTTCGTGGTGTAATGTATGGCATTCCTATAGATTGGACCAATTGATTCATGAATCCATTTTCTACGATGTTTTGGTATTTTTAAAATTATCATCAAGATCTGCGTTTTTATGCAATCGTATATTTTGTTAATTAATATCTTTATAAATTAGTGTACCCGATGCAATAAGTCAAATTTTATATTGTATATTTTTGCAGCTTTGATAATATTTTTTTATCTGTTGGCATTACAGACCTCTTAGATCCATAGTTTTATTTTACGCTGTTTTAATTATTTTTGTTTAAAAAAAAATTCATTAATTTTTAACTTGTAATTTAACTTCATTTAATTTAACTTTTTTTTTTATGTTATGCTCACTTCTCTCAAGGCGCTCAGAATTAAACTTAAAACAAAAACTGAACACTTACAATTATCTACTTAAGCCCATATAGACCTACGCTTCACAAATCACAAAACAGCCAAAGCGACCCAAAGTACAAACTATTCAGTCTAAAACTTTCAGAACCATAACCCAAAGCTCCATGTTACTTCACAAAAATTACATTACATAAAGACCTTCAAATGCCAACAGTTAACGATCGTTGTTCATTCAGACACACTACAAGCTATTCCACAATAACTTACATGGAAATACTAACACACTTATACAAAGTATGGCTACATTTAACATGTCCGAAAACACACTTAGGAGGCTCAAAAGGAGCTGGATGAGGGATTTCCTCGCTTAAAAATATGCTAAAATCAAGACAGGAAGGGATGCCGCTGGTTACTCCTCTCCATCACGTCGATCAAGCCACTACCTGTACACTTACTGACAGCAGACCCGCTAATTGTCATTGCTTATGACAGGTGTGAATAAACAAAGTTAAAAACAAAAAATAATTTTTCCTCTAATTTCCTTTCTAGTTCAAACATTTGACGGTTTTTTATTTTATATTATGTGCAAAAAAGTGGGGGTTCTGATTATTGTAGTGAATAAATCTTTCTGTCATTATTATATTGTTTCTTCGTCTTAGATTTCTGGACTCACATCTAACCACGAAAAATCATTCGATTGTTGAAGAAGTTACTTATTTAAAATGTTTTCTCAAATCCTACATGTATCCAATATGATTGCTTTTCGGTCTGATTTTAAGTATCTTAGGTAAGTAGGACATGGTTATGGGGATCACTGTACGCTATTACTTCTATAATTATTACTTTATTAAATAATATTAATTCCTTATTCTTCTGTTGCAGGACGTAGATAGGAGGTGCAGGGAGGACCAAGCCGTCAGAGATTGGATAAGGTGCCAGGACGGGCAGGGCATACTCCTCACGACGCCTTCCATCCTCGTTGGGTATCGGGTACAGGTTTATCGGGTCGAAGGTACGACGCAGTGGTACACCGCCGTCATAGTGGGCTACAACCCTGCCACTGGGGTATGTCCACCTTTCAATTTTATATAAATTTATTTGTTAATTTATGTTTGCATTTATGTGTATGTGTATGTGACATGCATGCATATAAATACTCACTCACATATAATATATATTATAAGGAAGAATAAAGAATAAAAGGAAGTAAGGAGATGGTCGGAGGAACGAAGAAAGGAGATGAGGAAGATGTGAGAAACAAGGAATGATCTACGCGTGGTCCTTAGCTTATCCTATGTCGCGATAAATAAATATATATGTATACATATAAGGCAAATGTACCAATAGTAGACACTGTACTAATAATTTTGAATTGTTCATCATTTAATCCTCTTTACAATGAGCTATTATTTTTAATTTATATTTCATATTATTAATCTCGCCTTGTTGTCCCTTCTATCGCGTGGTCTTTTTTTTTTGTTTTTTAGTTATATAAAGAATCTACTGATTCGTAAGCCTGAGTGTCTAATAGTTGTGCAATGTAAGCTACCGGATAAGTTTTCTATGAACAATTAACTACTTGGTTAAATAGGAAAAACAAATAGAAAACAAACAAAAAACAAACTTGGTTAAATAGACAATATCTATCAATTTAACCCATTTGTAAAGATTCACCATAATAAAACTTTGGTTCATATTAATGTTGAAAATTTCTTTTAAAGTGTCTATTACCGGTACATTTACTCTATATGGTGCTTTCATTTAAATATAAAATTTACGGTTGTATTTTTGATGTCTCCTAATCGCACCATGTGATATATGTTCCGTTCAAAACGGTAAAATTGTATTCGGTCTTATAAGGATCCGAGTCAGTGAAAAATCTATTCTAAATATTGAATTCCAGGAAGCTGTAGTGAATTGTGTGAGTGCTGCGAAGCGATAGCGTGTTGTTCTTTGGAATTAATTTAAACCTCCACCCTATTGGTCTAGAAATACTTTGCATTTCCCCGGCTTGATGTAGTTCTTCCACGCTGTCACACGTTTTACTGGAATTCCTCCCCGTATTCCCTGGGACAATACTACCCGTTTCTCCATAATCGTAAAATTTTATTATGCAATTACAATTTTCCAATTATTGCGAATAACTTACCCAAGAGGATGTAGGAGAGGGAATTGTTTTATTCTGTCGTGAATTTTGTATAAAAAAAAAATCCCGAAGTGCTGTAGAAAAAGCCAATTTCGGGAAAAAGAGTAAATTTATTGCCAAATTTAATTACAAATTCTGTAGCCCTCAGGAAATTTTGTAGGCGATAAAAATTTATTTTTTTTAAATAAACGTAACTACCGAATTATTTACTAGATTACTTTTATTAGGTTTCTAGTTTAAATTATATATAATATAGTGAATAGGAAAGCTATGTAGTCATCATGAACAAATAGAATACATGATGAATCCTTTATAGCATTATTTTTGGGCAACTAAAATTTCCGTATTTTAATCCTCATTAAATACAATTATTGCCTCTTATCTATTTAATATATACCATCGATTGATTATTGCTAGATTTGTACTTAACAAAAAGTATATTTTTTAAGAGTAATAATAATGAATGTTTCAATTGATCGTTTGATTTTTTTTTAATTGCTGCTCCTGTTTGATTTAATTATTTACTAATAAATAAAATTTTTAATTTAACACATATTGTTTTCATGGTTAAAAAAATATAAATAAACATGCGAATCTCAATATATATATATATTTTTTAAATTCCTAGCTACCTATAATCTTGTCATAAGTTGGAACTTGTTATTGATGGTAGGGACTATTCCAAAAGTTTTATATTATATTAATTCATCCTTAATAAAAGATTTTTTTTATAGCATAACTTATACATTTGGCTAAATAATATTTTTATATTGTCCTGAGCTCTTAATAAATAATTAATGTATACTAGATTATTGTTTAAACTTATCCATTTTAGAGAAATTGCTTATTTCGCTTCTACCTATATTTAATAAATAAAAAAAAAATTTTTGGAGTTGAATAGTTTGTTCCTTTCTTCTTTTCAAAATCAGACATAGTGAAAAAAATAATATATATTTCTTAATCTAAATATTCTACATATCCTAACTAATATGTAGTAAATATATATATATAACCTAGTAAATATTCTACGAAAACATTAAAAAATAAATTTGAATTAGAAATAAACAATATCCATGAATTTGGTTTCACAGAACACATTAATAAAATCAAGCATGGAATTTAGGTCATGGCTGGTTGTTAAAATAAGATAATTATATGAAGTTATGCTAATTAAAATTATATTTAATGTTTGCTATTGTATATGTTGAATATTGAAAGGAACTGTAAATAATAATAATTCAATTATGACTGAAACTTATGTTTTGGAAATAAAAATAAAAAAGATACTTTATTATGGGAAAAGTCACTTAAAAATAACAATAGTGTACAGAAAAAATAAGATTAATTCTGACCGCAACACCTATTATTGTTAATAAATAATTAAAATGTAGGAATATAAGAAGATTATTAAGATAATTATCTAAAATATATTAAAAAGCAGATGAGTAATGGAGTAACAAAATATTCTCCACCAAAGTAAAATAGTTCAAAAATTTAAGTTAATCTTATTAGAAAAATATAATTTATATATTTTCATCTGCTATTTAAGATGTTTCATTGTTAGAAAAAAATAAAAATCTTATGTGTCGACTCGAAAATGTCTAAAATACCTGTGAACTACATCCAACAAAATCTTTTATCTTTGTTATTGTTTGTTTTTAATAACTAAAGTAAATTACTAACTTCGGTATTTGTTAACTTGATCAGCCCCCATCCCCTGAATCAGTTTCTAACCTGCTCGACTCCCTGAGAGAATCGTAACCTCCAACTCTAGCCAAGAACCCTACTTGTAAATATTTAAGTGGTGTTTATTTCTAACCTCGGTTGACGCCATTTCTTCTTTATTTATCGCTCTATGCCATCGTAATTTGTCTCGTTCCACATTCTGTCAGCTCATCCTTCGTGGGTTGAATGAAATTGTAAATTCCCACTCCTTCGTTTCTAGCTCGAGTTCAACGTTTGTCCTTCGGAATACTTTTCTTACCGCCACCATGTTGATCCCTCTTGTTGATCAATGTTACAGAAAGGGCACCGAATCTTTATGAATATTTTATTTATTATCATTTTTTATAAATAAAAAAAATAGTTATGCAATTATGTTTATTACAATATAACCCAAGTCTGAGGGAAAAAATAAATGAATGAAAACGTGTTTATTATCATAAAAAAAATAAATACAAAATATAACAATCGTATAAATGTTACAACATATAGACAATGGAAAATACCGTCTGTCGAGGTCTGTGTGATCTTTCTACAAAATATGTTCCATTTTATATCCTTAAAAATTAGTGAGCAATAATATTTTTTCATAATTAATAACAACATCTTAAAAATATGTCCCAGTTTTCCACCCTTCAAAAACAAAAAACAAAAAAAGTATAATCTCGACTTGTGTTATAAATACAATATTATAGCACGAATTATGTTATAAACCTTCAACTTAATTAATATGTACTTATATTACTCATATTAAGCAAGGAGATTATTTAAATAGTGGGATATCTGTAGTGTAGTTGAAAGTTGATAAAAAATAGTGCGAATAATTCAGTTCTTTTAAATTAAAAAAAAAAACACCTTAGTAAATTCGCTGAAAAGGCCTCTTAAAATGGATTTAGCAATGATAAACTTTAGTTTCGTCTAGTTTACTTTAAAGCAGTTGTCAATTACTTAAATTAAATATTTTTTTAGTTATTGGTTCCTATTCAACGAAAAACATGACTTGTAAAAAAAAAAACACACAAATCTTGAATTTCCTATTTTAATGTGGAAAAAGTTTTATAGATCTTGATGTCTATAAAATATTCCTCCTTAAATATTTCAGTCTGCTTACAGAACAACACCTTGTATACCTTCCAACATTGATAAAGTTATATTAATTATAATAACCTACTGATACTAATAATAATTGTACATATAATATACTAATATATTATTACTGCTTAATTAAATTAAATTATTTAGTAATACTAATTGGTTGTAACTAGGGCTTGAAATGAAATTTTAATTTTTAATCAATAACATTAGTAATTTCAAGGAAATAACTCAAACCCTTTCACCTCTAATGAACAATTTAGTGACATTTGCACGAAATAGGAAGTTGATCAAGAACTAATTAAATTATCTTTTTATCTATATATATATTTCTCCTACTTTGATTATTATATTTGTGAATGCTATAACCCTAGCACCAACGCCATTCAGTGTGACATACTGAATTAATATTTAATAAAAATTTAATTATAGACCGTACATCCTCATTATTTTTCATTCTTAAAATATTTTTTACGTGACAAGTGTTAATGATTAAGAACTACGTTTACCTATATGGCACAAGTTATGCAACATTTTCCAGGATCTCAAATTAATTGTCTTGATGTTACGACCTGTACCAGAGTGCATCTATCTTGCCTAATAAATTAAAAGAATCAACACTGAATAATAGTTTGGATGAGGGAGCCATTGAACCGAAGGAGACATCTGCATAGAACGTAGTAATGGATGTTAATTGGAGCAGCTGAGAAAAGTTAAATGGGATTTCCTGAGGGACAATTGTGGGAAGAGGTGGGAGGACCGGGATCATGCCAAGGGACCCTCGTTGCTGGGTTGACCCTCGTCTGTGTTTGTTGATGTTCTTTTTTGTTGTCCATCGCCTGAGTCATCTCCGGTTGCCGCCTTTCCACTTTGCCATGCATATCTTCATTAACTCCTCAATGGCTCATTCTGCTTATGCTGGCGGTTTTTAATCAGCCATCTCAATTGAAGGAGAGAAGAAAAAAAAATGTCTTAAATTGAACTTAATCTGAACCGAATTTTTTTTTCCACAGCACTTTTTTTGACACGCATACGAAAGAATCATTAAACCGATCTAAATGGATTTTATTTTCCAACTAGATGAAACTAGACTACAGAGTAATATAAATTACGAACTCATTAAACAGTTCACGGGGTAATAGAACTTGAGAGAAAATAACAAATTAGGCAGGTGTATATGAATATTTTTTTTTATTGAATAATGTTACATCCTGTTACTAAGTGCATTAGTAAATAGTAATACAGTCCGTATGTACAATAAATAAAACATCAGCAAAATGGTAATACTAAAAATAAATCTATACACGAAAAAATAATTTTTTTTTTAAAATTTATTTTAATGAAATTTACAATTGTATTATATGAAAAATACAACAAGTAAATGTGACATTGGTAACATGACATGTACAACATGAAGAGAACCTACCAATTGGTAGAACTCAAATTAAAGTTCTATCTTAGAAGGTCCCGAGCCCATCTTCTTTTCAGACGTCTCGGAGGGTTATCAGGGATCGAGGAGGAAGCAAGGTTTGAAACGAGAGGGTTCGGATTGTTCTGCAGTTTGTTATGGAAGGATAGGTATCTAGATTGGGCCAAATAGGAAAACGTATGGAACATTAAGGTCTTTTTGGATGATTTTATTTGTGACAAAGTAGTAAGGAGTATTGAGTAATTTACGAAGGATTTAGGATTGTAAGGATTGGAAACGAGGGGAATTCGATGGTTTAGTGGAGCCCCAAAGCTCAATTCCGTAAGTCCAAATAGGTCTTATTATTGTCATATATATGAGTCGTTGTCTGGTATGGAGGTAAAAAAAAGAAACTTAAACTAATCAAAATAACAACTTAAATACATGCATACATTTACACAATATTTACAAAAATCAATTTACAAAATTGAAATGTTCGTGAGAGGTAAAGCAGAACTTAAGGAAATCGCAAGTCGCATCACTGGTATTAAGAACCATTGAAGGCTGAGATAAAATAGTATCTCGAGTCAAGAATTTCTGTTTCACAGTCAATTTTAATAACGATATAAGTGGAAATAATAAAATAAATGTTTAGCACAGTTGATGAAATCGTGAATTATTCACTTCACCATGTTTTTTAGAAGAAATATACTGAATTCTTCGAAATTTATAGTCGAGAGAAATAAAAATAAACCGAGCAAACTCATTTATCAGCGACGTTTGCTAACCTTTAAATAAACAAAAAGAATAAATTTGACTTTAAGAGTACAGAATAAATTGAAATATTTTTTAATTTCCATATTAGAAGAAACGAGAAGCTTCAAACTTCAGTAAACATAAATTATGAAATTATTAAAAATGAATAATAAAATTGTATCTTGTGGCCCAGAATTAATGATTCTACAATATCTTACTGAAAATAATATAATAATCATTGATACAGATAAGGTACCATTGCCTAAGAGAACATTTATTTGCGTCAGAGAAACTATGAACAGTAACTTTTCAAAGTTTTTCAGGAGGGCAAAAAAGAAGTTTCAGATGGCTCATTAGTTAAACACTAATAGATTCGTTTAATATGGATTCCTCTTTTTGGTTCATTTCAGTCTGTGTATTATATGCAATGGCGATTCTTCAGCTATTTACTTTTGTTTTTTCTCTTTCTCTCCTTCACCATCTCATTTCACATGCTTGATCACATTCAATAACCGGTGTATCGGCAGGCCGAGGATGTCGAACGGTGGAGTCACGAACCGAGGTATGCGGTATAAAGTAATCCTCCTTACTGATATCAGGTAACATCTCAGGTACCGAGGAGGCCTGAAGGCATGCGGGTAGGAAGAGAAAAAAAAATATCACTTTTTGTAAGATCCAACGGAGGATCTTGATCCTCTCTATCTAAGGTAACTTGCCCCCGGCGGTTGGCAGGATGCCCCTCCCCGCCTGGATCATCTTGTTACAGGAAGATCCTCCAGTCGAGGTGTCCATTAGCCTTTCAAGGTAATCTCAATGCTGTAATTTATTATGTCTTCATCAACCGCTTTCGCTGCAGTGTCAACACGACATTATGGAGAGCATCTAGAACTAATCGTCGGCCATGATGTGGAAGTTATGTGCAACAACGTATACACTTCTCGTTGTTTTCGCATAGCAACAAGAGTAACTTCCCTAACTATAATTCCAATCATGGGTTCTCATCTCTCCAAGAGCGATGGCACTTATCCTGCTCCTAGAAATTTCTCTCTCCTTAAAAACTATACAAATATAATTATAAAAAAATTAATTTATATAGGATCACACTTAATGTTGCCTGTTATTTTTTTCCTCAATCTTTTTGTGCTCCATCAAAAATGGTGATGCCATTCTTTTCTGGTTTCAACGTTATTATATTTCAGATTAATTGTTTTTCAGTCTTTTTCTCGTATTAAACGTACCTATTATGATGTATTCTATTCATTTTTTCTGTTGGCAATACAGATCTTGTAGATATTTTGCCGTCTTAGCAAGCCTGTCCCATCTCTACTTTCTTGGCCTATTTCCTCCATTTATCTGCACGCACCTCTGCTGCATCTTTGTTGATTATATCTATCCATCTGCTTATTGGCCTTCCATTTGGTCTTTTGCCTTCCATCGAAGCATTCATTGTTGCGTAGAGGCTTTCAGAAGAATTGCTCTGTGCCTAATTGTATTTATTGCTGTATTGTATTTATAAGTTCTTGTATTTTATGTTTGAGTTATTATCTGTTTTATCTCTTGACGCTCTCCTTCGTGGGTTTTCTAGGTGTATTGAAGTATTCTGCACTTGTTTATTTGTTTTTTGTCAATTAAACCGCTCTATGTTAAATATCTATCCCATGAAAGTTTAAGTTATTATGTGACGCGCAAAAAAAAAGCATAAATATGGTATTAACATTTTTTATTTGAAAATTTTGAATTTTAATTGACTATTAAACTGCCTTCCAATGTACTTTTAAAAAATCCTAATAAATACCTCACATTTTTATGAACTAATATTTTTATGAGAAAGCTGGTATTGGTATGATCGTTTATTTAGCACCTGTTTTAATTACCTCTGATTAATGTATATGATAGTCAAAACCATGGCGATCTGTTAGTGTTTCCGTTTAATTTATTATGTTAACGGAAATGAAGAGTACTTATGTATTCGCTTGTTTTAGTGTGCATGTAGATTTTATTTTTATTTATGAAAGAATAGACTTTTTGTATTAATATTAAAATTATAGATATTTTATTGAAAAGTTTTATTAAGGGAGTACTTTTTTTTTGAACCATGTAAAGACTTGTGTAGACTTAAATAGATATGTGTATTGTATTTTGTTTCTGAATGCGATTCAGTTTATTAATGTATTAATGGAACAGCGTATCTCTTAAGAGTAAATGACGTGTTTAGAATTGTGATTTTTAGAAGTAAGTATTAAAAAGTTTATTTACATATTTGGTGGTATGTATTATTGTTCTTTGAAGAACTGTAAAATGTTATGAGTAATGATTGTACGAATTGGAATGGTTCAAATATCTGTTATAATTCTGATATTGAATTTTCCTCAAGCTTGGATTTGCTTTTAATATTTTTTAATTTATTGAACCTTAATTTATTTTTTTGCGGAATTTAAGAGGAATTACATATTTTAAGATAATAATTAATTAGCTATTAATTGTTATCTCTTTCCTTGTTGTATACTTATTCGTGAATCATTCTGTTTCGTTGAGCGTCATTTAGTTTCGACGACTATTTGCTTTTATTGTTTCTTGTTTAACACTGAATCTAAATAATCAGTGATATCGATCTACATAGACCCTTCATGTTGTTTTCTTAAACTTATCGTGCGTTGAGTTTTAAACTAGAAGGAAACGTTTTATCTGGGATCTGAGTGACGGAGGATGTGCAATAACAGAAATAGGATGGCTCCGAGGGGAGATCTTATTAAAGATATTTATTCCTCCGGGAGGGATCTCGCAACACCCTTCTTTTACATGGCTAGTTGGCTCGTCGCCATGGGGAGGGGTAATTTGTTTATTAAATATTTGTTATTTACTATTTTCTCGTTCGGTACTTTTTTTTTCTTCTGCGCATTTCCATTTATTTCTCCCAAGTAATATTTTTTTCTTCGTTCTAACATTTGTAAAAACCAAACCCACACGCATTTAAAAAAAAAAATAATCATCACTGTATTATAATATAGTATATAGTATAATGTATTATAAATTGAGAGGTCAATGTATCAGTACCAGAATTAATAATAATTTAGGATTTAAAAATATACATGGCAGGATAATTAAATTATTAAATTCGGAAACTACTTGTAATTACATTTAATGCAAAACTTATTTAAGTTGAAATAATCTTCATTGGTTTCAAAGTTTAAAATAATCATTTATTTATATATTAAAAAAAATGTTCGTTCATTCAGGCATCATCGATGTACAGCAGTAGAAATTCGTGAACATTGCATCTGAAATCCAAATCCCAACAAAATAAACCTGACTTCGTAAATACTATTAACAACTGAGCGATTGTTTGTAAATCCACTTAAATTTAATCGCTCATCTTAGGAAATGTTTAATTAAAATTATAAATTAGTCTAATATATTTAAATTATATATTCATATATTAATTTAAATATGATGTACAAATTATTTTTTTTTAGATATTTTGATTTTTTTTTCTTCTGAAAATACCTATTTATTATTTAATAATATTTGCGTATTTCATTATATTTTCATATTAATCCATGGAATTTTTACAAATTATTTGTCAAGTTCTCTTTATCTTGATCAAGAATAACGTCGCTCATATTTGTTTGACGGAAATGTCACTGATTTTGTGTTTAATATGTCTCCTTGCTCTCAATCTAAAGACAATTTTCGGTAAGTTTTTAAATGCCGAATGCCCAAATTATTAACTATCTAAATTAAATTCGTAAATACATTGGTAATGGTAGCAGCATTGTTTATTTATTAAAAATAAAAATAAAATCCAATTATTTAAATTATGTAAGGCTCAAATAATCTAAGCAAGAATAAATCTTATTTTTACTCATGACACATCATGAAGGAAATATTCATAATTAAAAACGAAGGTCTTTTTATTGTGTGATTTTGACTTAATTATATTTGTATGTATTAATTAACTGTTACTAACAATTATAAATATTTATAGGAATTAACTGATAAATTTATGTTATCATTGTTCAGGAACTAACAGTGACAGACGATACGGTATTGGAGGACCACAACGAAGATCCCTGCCTGGTACAGATGAGGCTTATTGGAGATGGAGGTAAAATTATTATTATTATAACTATCATCTTTCCTAATAAGGGAGAGAAAAAAATTTAATATATAATATATCCGAGTATAATATATTTTAATTTTTAAACATTAAGAATTTTTATCAAGTATTCTCAAATAGGTTTCTTGGATTACTAAGAATTAAAAAAAAATATAAAACACACCCATGATTATTATTTTTACATCTTACATCTTTAAAACATGTATTAATAACTTGAGTTGAAAAAACTTTATTGTTATTTCAAATCAGATATTCTACTTATATTAGTGCTAATTAAATTATGAAAGTTAGCTGTCACTTATGAATTATTATTTATTATGTACTAGGAATGGGATGTTATTTTCAACATTAATTTAACTGTATATGTTAAACTTGTACCATAAAAGGTAACTTCTTGTTTTCAATAATGGTGCAATTAAATTAATTCATTTTTATTTTCCATTCGAACAAAATATTAAAAAATGTTTGGATAACTTATTTATTAAATCACTTAAGAAACGCAAGTATAATTACATCTCTAGAAAAAAAAACACAAAAAAAAACTGGTTTTGGGAAGAAACTTGTTTTTACACCACTTTTACTGATATTTAGGTATAAAGGAAGGAGATGGTCCGGGGTGGCGGTCATAAATAGGCTGATTAGTGGCAAAAACTATTTTATTGACAAATTTATGACAAAAAGCCAACGTTTCGACCCGACTTTGCAGGTCTTCTTCAGGGTTAGAACGGACAAGATACAAAAAAAAAAAATTGTGGAAGTTACATAATATTTAGAAAAAAAAAATGATAAAAAACATGAATAAGCTTATTAAAATTATAAACATTAAGTACATTAAAATATAAACAGAGTAAGCTAAGTAACTCTGTTTATATTTTAATAAGCTTATTCACATTGTTTATAATTAATTTTTTTTTCTAAATATTATGTAACTTCCACGATTTTCTATATTTTTTTTATCTTGTCCGTTCTAGCCCTGAAGAAGACCTGCAAAGTCGAGTCGAAACGTAGGCTTTTAATAAAATACTTTTGCCACTATTCAGCATATTAATGACCCTACCATCTCCTTCCTTTATAATACAACAGTCAACTATTATACATTCGATATTTAGGTATGTTTCGAAAAAAATAATTGTACCATTGGATTTATTGGGTGTTATTGCATAGGAATCGTTATATCAATTTTAAAAAAATATCTAATTTGTTGTTATTTATGCCTATTGGAACGCAATTAGGTCCAAAATTGACTTTAAAAATAATTAAAGGTATAAGAAGGTACTAAGTCATTTAAAGATTATTTAGTTATTTACATCTTTTGCGATTTTTGAAATTTTAAGCATTGTTTTGTAGATACCTCTAATTGTGTTAATTAGGAAACATGAATGTTTAATTTCCATCAAAAAGTCTTTATACTCTATGAACTTTGAATATTTTCCGTGTTTCGAAAGCCTCTTCTCCCCCCTCCTCCCTGAAAACTGTAGAGAAGGGGAGAAGGAAGATAAAGTATTAAAAAGAGACATAAAGTGAATTTATGTAGGAAGTTCTCCGGGGCGCTAAACTAACGAGCAAGTTGCATTACAGAGCCCGCCCTGTCATCAAATAGTAACAGCTTTGATATCAAACCTCTCCATATTTAGTCTTCCGCTTGAATTTCAAATTCGCTGCATCTGCAGTAAGTAGTCAGTTTTTGGAGTCCTTGTCTATCCTTAAGTGGTTGTAATATGTATTATATAAAGAGGAACTTGAAAGAAATAACTAAATTAAAAAAAAAAAGACAAGATCTGCTCTGTGTTTAGTAGAGAGATGATTCCAATTAGAGAAGATTTAACGTACGTTGAAACAACTAATAGTAACAATTGGATGTTGATAACGGACTCAAAGAGTGCCAACAAAAAGAAAATACCAATAACCACACTGGCGAGAGCTATTAGAAATATTTCGTGGAAACTAACAGAAAAAGGAAAGGAAATAATGTTCTTCTGGGTCCCCTCACACTGCGGAATTGTCGGAACTGAACGGGCAGACAAAACATCCAATATGGCGGAAGGCAAGGAAGAAATCCAACAGTTATAATTAACGAAATCCTGAAAGAAGATTTTTTACAGCAAATATTGTGGATAATATGGCAGGACAGATGACAACAAAAAGAAGCCAAATTAAAAGAAATAAAAAGCCAGTGTTCCAAATGGAAAACTAGCAACCGACTCTCTTGAAAAGAAGAGACAGTCCTCTGCCGCTTAAGAATTGGGCATTGTGAATTTCCATTGCTATTTACTAAGAGGACTAGACCCATCGACCTGCAAGAGCTGTAAGGTCCAAAGAAACAGTCCAACACATCATCCAAGACTGCCCAGTATTTAGAAATAAAAGAAAAAAAAGTTGATATGGCTCAGAGTCTAAAAGAAAACCTCACTGACAACGAAATAGGCCGTAGAAAAATCATATTAAAATTAAAAATAATTAAAAATCATAAAATTCTACAATAGGGTATGAACAAAAAGTGTTGCCAATGACCCTACATGGTTGAGGAAACAACAAAAACAAATAAATAAATAAAATAATTTCTAAAAATTCTATATTCGTTATTAATTCGAATTAATTAATTCATTAATCTTCGACTCCCTGGGAATTATCCATCACCATGTGCATGGATAGAGAGAGAGTTTGTTCATGGGGGGAAGGCATGCGTGTTTTACAGAATTTTTACATTATTTATTGACCACGTCCACTCCACTTTATGTATTTGTATGTATGTTATGAATTAGGTTAGGAAAAGAGAGGAGAAAATCTAGGGAATGAGAAAAATGTATAAGGGGAGAGAAGGAAGAGAAAGGGATATATAATGCTAATAAATGAATGAAATAAATAGGAAAAAAAAATAGGAAAAACAATTGTAATAAAAAAAATATATATACTATGCTCATACATATTATACATGTTAATACTATATAATTGTGTATTAGTTTTAGAAAATTGTCTATAGCGATTAATAAGTATGCTGTGTTTAAAGCGACCCAATGTAATTGGGCAGCACCCTTTTATGATAACAAAGTGATTCTCTGGTGTTTTTGTGTATTGGGTAGATATATCGATATTAAAAATAATATTGAACTCAAAATATGAAAATTAATAAATTGAACCTTAATTAGAGCAAGCGCACTAGTGATGGACATAGCTAAGGAAATTTGTGTCTTTTTTGGATTATGCCGTCATAATTATTACAGTTATAAACTTCTCCGTTAGGCGTTTAGAATCTCTAGTTTCTCCTTTTTCTATTTAAAACTCTAAAATTGAAAAAATATTCAATTATGCAGATATAATCTCATTAAAAAAAGTATCTCTTTGCACTAGTGACGGACACTCCGAAATTCAGTATTCAGTAATTTCAGTACGAAATTCAGTCGGTAGCAGTAATAGACATACCTCAGAAAAATTCTAAAATCTTTATTTAACTATAAATATTACGATAAAGATAAGATAACATAAATTTCAACTTAACCTTAGCAAAACTGTTAGTAGGAAGGCATGAAACACACTGATCTCAAGAACAGCACTATAGAAACAACAATGATACGTATTTTAAAATAACGCAGTTGCAAATTTAAAATTAAAAAAATAAATAATAAATACAATTTTCTTTTGGAACCTCTAGAGATTTCAATAGAGGGCGTTATTTTTCAATCTAGAAAAACTGAAACCTTTAAATCAAGAAGGAAGCTTATTATTTATATTTAAATTCAACCTACCCATCACTGGACCCCCTGTCCATAACTGGTGCGCTGACTGGATAATGGTCATTTTTAAAATTTAAAGGCTTAACTTTTTTTTTTTTAAATGTTGAGAAAATAAAAAAAAAGCTAATTATTTTTATATTTATTATTTGTCTTTCGTGAAATATAGACAATTTTATTTAATTCATGGTATTTATATTTATATATTATAAAATATGAAATTCAGCAAATTACACACGAGATTACTTCATTTATTGATTTTTTTTTTTCTCTTTGAAAGCTCATTCCACAGTTGAAATGTCATTTATAGAACTGTGAAGATTTATTTGTTTTCATCACAATATAACCCGTGGGCCAAAACATTTGGAGACTCCTGGAACATATTAAAGAATAATGACAAATAAAATTAGTTGTAAAATTTATAGCTTTTTATGGTTGGAAAGTTGGTTAATGTAATGGTTGTAATCAGAGAGAGCTTACTAAAAAAAATGTCATTTTAAACTATGTCGACGTTTCGGCCTAATTAACATTAGGCTTAGCCCTGATAAAGACTTACAACTTACAATACCTCAAAAACTCTTGTTTTCACTTTTATAAATATTAATATAAAATTGAAGTCTCTCATTTAATTTTTTTTTTGTTGTAAATATAGTATAATTATTTTTTTGGCATTTATTATATTATAATTTTTTTTTCCTTTTGTGCCTGAAATCATTGAATAATAATAACATATTTATATGTCTATGAACTTAACTGTTGCAGTTATCGAATCAATAATGAAAGGAGAAAAAGTCGGTATCACACCAAGGAGATCGAGGTCAAGTCTAGTGCTCAGTCATCGGCCTATTGTGAGTACTCTATTTTTTTTTAAAACAAATTTGTTGATTAATAATACAATCTGTCACATTGGAGGATAATAAGTATTAGGGCTACAAGTATGTGATTATATTAATTTTTATTTAAAGCATATTTATTTATTTTCAAAGCGAATAAAACTAGTCTTGCATTATCTTGGTAATGAAAGTATGTTTTTAATTCCTTTGTATATATATATATATATATATATATATATATATATATGTGTGTGTGTGTGTGTGTCTTACAATAGGAAATGAAATGATTGTTGCTCTCCAAAAAAATTGGATTTCTGCAAACTTTATTCCTTTTTTAGTTTACTATTTATCCAAAATAATTACAAAATTTATTTAATCAAACAAATTGGAGATTTTGATTATTACTTATAACAACTTTTTGACAGATTCTC